GTGACCTTGGGCAAATATGAATCACCTAAATTCCCAAGGTTCAGTTCCTCTTAGCATAACCATTCATTCAACACTTACTGAGAAAACAAAACAAAACTGGGCCACCAAATCACCTAGTGTGGAAGCTGGAGAGATGGTTCAGTGGTTAAGAGCACTGTCTGCAATTCCAAAGGTCATGAGTTCAATTCCTGGCAACAGAATGGTGGCTCACAACCATCTATAATGTGAACTGATTCCCTCTTCTAGTGGATGTAAATGAAGATAGAACACTCATATACATAAAGTAAATAAATCTTTAAAAAAAAATCATCTAGGGTAGGGATGGAAGTGAGAACAGAAAGGGTAATCCTGCTGGAGAAGATATCAAGGAAGCATTTTTTAGTTTTTAGAGAAGAGGGAGAAGTGTTTTAAAAGAAGGCTCAAATTTATTAACCTCCTGGGTAGAACATTCCTTTTGATTTTGTTTTATGAGATCGGGTTTCACCACGTAGCCCAAGCCAGGCTGGCACGCAGAATGCTGCTGGGACTACGCGTGGAAATCTGGCTAGCACAGTTTTCGTTATACACATACGTGGCCTGAGAGCCACAAAAACGGAGGGAAAAGTATGTATTCTGTTTTTTATACATTTTTAAAATTGCAGGGGCTGGAGAGATGGCTCAGAGGTAAAGAGCAGTGGCTCTACATACAAAGGTCCTGAGTTCAACTCCCAGCAACCACATGGTGGCTCACAACCATCTATAATGAGATCTAGTGCCCTCTTCTGGCGTGCAGGCAGAATACTGTATAAATAATAAATAAATAAAATATTAAAATACTAATGATGAAATTGTACAGTGTTTCATGTGCAGTATGCGCATGTGTGAGCATGGTGGCACAGGTGACACTGTATGTATAGTGGTCAACTGACAACTTTTGGGAACCCATCTCTTCTTCCACTGAAGACTCCAGGTACTGAACTTAAGTCCTCAGGCCTTTATGAGACACATTTTTACCTGGTGAGCCATTTTTACCAGCCGCACAAAATCATTTCTAAGTAAACATATGAAGAAATAAGTTTCATTATGACATTATCTTTCTCTTTTTTCTTTTTCAAGACAGGGTTTCTCTCTGTAGCCATGGCTGTCCTGGACTTGCTTTGTAGACGAGGCTGGCCTCGAACTCAGAGATCCACCTGTCTCTGCCTCCCTAGTGCTGGGATTACTGGTGTGCACAACCCAGCTTTTTTATGACATTTTCAGGGTTGGTGACAGAGTTCAGTGGTAGAGTACTTGTCTAGCATGCATGAGGCCCTGGGTTCACCAGTACTGAAAAAAATATGAAATCATGAAGCTGTATTCTTTCTAAAAAGTTGTTTCGCGTGTATAGGTGTTTTGCCTGCACACGTCTTAGTAACATGTGCCCATCTGCATTCTGTGCCCTTAGAAGCCAAAGGAGCATCAGATCTCCTGGAATTAGAGTTATGTATCATTGTGAGCCTCCATGTAGATGCTGGCAACTGAACCCTGTTCTTTGCAAGGGGCAGGGGAGGCACTCCAGAGGCAGGCATGTATCTCTGAGGCCAGCTACCAAGCGAGTTCATGGGGTACACAGAGAAACCCTGTCTCCAAAACAACAAACAGAACACCGCAACCTGTGCTTTTAGCTACTACGCCATCTCTCCAGCCTTATACTTTATTTTGTATTCATCCTCCTTCCACTCTTCTCCATCATGTCTTTTCTTGCCGATTCCCACTCCCTTTCTTTCTCTATTTTTTACGAACAGGGTTTCTCTGTGTAGCCCTGGTTGTCCTAGAACTCTGGCCAGACCAATCTGGCCTCAAACTCAGGAATCTTCAGAGTGCTGGGCTTAAAGGCCCAGCCCTTTTTGTCTCTTAAAAAAATCTCTTCCTTCCCTCTAAATAAGATGTATTGGGCTGGAAAGATGGCTCAGAGGTTAAGAGCACTGGCTGCTCTTCCAAAGGTCCCGAGTTCAATTCCCAGAAACCACATGGTGGCTCACGACCATCTATAATTTGGTGCCCTCTTCTGGTGTGCAGGTGTACATGCAGGCAAAACACTGTATACATAATAAATAAATAAATCTTTAAAAAAAAATGTATTAAGCTCTCCGAAGCCCAGTGTTGCAGCGCTGAAGACAGGCAGAGTCACGTGCTCTCTACCACTGAGCTGTGGCCCAAACCTGAACCTCAATTTGCTTGCTTGCTCAATTCAGGCAATGAACAGCACCTTAAGGTCCTCAGCAAATCCAGGGGTGGTGCCCCAGCACTTGGGAGGCGGGAGCAGAAGGATCAGTAGTTCCAGGCAGGAGAAGCTAAGTTGGTACAATGTCTGCTGTGCAAGCGAGCCCCGCACCTACACAAAAAGTGCAGATGTGGTGGTAAATGCTGGTAACCCGCACCGGGGCAGTGGACATGGGCCCTGCCCCGGGCTCCACACTGGCCAGCCAGCCTCCCCCTACTCTGGGAGTCCCACAGCTCAGTGAGAGACTGTCTCAAAAATAAGATGGCTCTCCAGGAAGTACACCAGAGGCTGACCTCTGCCCTCAACATGCTCACATGGACCTATGCACGTAAGAAACTATGTACACATGTGCAGAGGCACACAGAGCTGTTCATACCCATACAGCCACAACCAAATGTAAAATAGTCTTATATAGGAGACCACAGGTGTGGAATGCCTAGCAGAGCCTGGTACTTAACCACTACTGCATTGTTTGTTTGTTTGGTTTTTCAAGACAGGATTTCTTTGTGTAACAAGCCCTGGCTGTCCTGGACTCAGTTTGTAGACCAGACTGGGCTGGCCTCCATGCTCGGTTTTTACTCTTTCCTTGCATTTCACCTTCTCCATCTCCAATCTAGGAGAACCTCTGCAAGGCAGGGAGACCTCTGTAGGGTAGGCTGAAATCCGAATTGTCCACGCCGGGTCCACCTTGGAATCTGGTCTAGCTAGTTATACGGAATGAGTGGCCTCAGGGACAAATGGTCACAGGACTGCAAGAAGGCACAATCATGGATAGTAGAGATAGGGAGTCAAAGCCGAAGCATATTCCCCTTCCTCTACACCACTTCACATTCAGTGTCCTCCTGTCCTCCTTGAAATAATCTCAAAAAAAAAAAAAAAAGAAAGCATACAGGTACTACCATCTCCCCAGCACCACTACTCGGGAAGGAGGGGCTACGCGGATCGGGGTATACTATGTCTGGTTTACATCTCATCAAGCCGCAGGTACCAATTACAGAAGGTAAAGCTGGAGCTCAGGGTGGGGCTGTCGGCTGTCCCGGGGATTCGGGGGTGGGGGATAGTGCTGGAATTCAGACCCAAGCATTCCGAACTCTGGAATATTTGCTGCCTTAGGGTCTCTCTGCTCCCTCTAGTGCTGACCTCTGAAAGAAAGTGGAAAGGAGATGGACTCTGGCAGAGGGTGCTGCCAAGGCAATACTTGTGTGGGGACAGTTTCAGTCAAGTCCCTCTATGTCCTTGGTGGGGGTGGGGACAGGGGACTTCAAGCGTGTGTGGCGCTCCCCCTATCCTCTAAGCACTGGGGGAGGGGTGTTCTCATTCCCAGGCACGCCCTCAATCCCTAGACTTTCCTTGCACAGTTTCTTGCTCCTCAGCAAAAAGCCAAGGTTGGGAGAAGGGGTCTTCTAACACTTGACCTTCCACCTCTGTAACCCTCCCCGGCCAGCCAAACCAGCTGTGCAAATTCGCCTAAGTCGGGGTAGGGAAATCAAACACTATTATCAACCAAACCCCCTTATTAGCGACAAAGAGAAGCCACCCCCTACCCAATCTAGTTCAAAAACCTTAGGCAGAGGATATCAGCCCAGGTCCCCAGCATCTAGCCGCGGAACACACCTTGAAGCTTAAGAAACTGGGCTCGGGGACCCCCCTGGAGCTCTCTCCTTCAAGCAGCTCCCCTCCTCCCCGCTAATAGGTATTTCCTGTTTATGAGGCAGCTAGGGCTGGGCTTTGGGGAAGGGATGGAGTTCTTCCTCTCTAAGGGTTGGGTTGGGGAGTCCTTGAGGATTGCCTGAAGGTTGGGAGGGTTCTCCCTTTGGAAGACTGTTTCTAATGTACACTGTCCAGGATGCCCCACCCCCAACCCGCGCCGCGGCCTCTGCCCCTACGGGTAGGGGGCACTGGAGAAGTCGACTTCCTGTTCTCCACCTCCAAAACCCTCAACAGAGAGCTGCTTCCAGGGGGCGGAGGATGCGGGTGGGTGGGTAGAAGGTTCTAGGGCTGGAAGGAGAAAGTGGGGGAAGGGAGGTGTCTTAACTGGTGCGTCAGAGCCTGCAAGAGGAAAGGATGGCCTTCGTAGTCCATCACCCCCCCCCCCAACCTTGTGGTCATTCCACAGCCCCGTGTCCCCACGCAAAATGCCGATCTCAGGCCCTTAGGCGGGGGAGGGCGGGGACCCTACTTAATTAACCCTTTTAGCTCTAGTCCCACGGTCTGGTTAATTTAGAAAGGGGGATGAGCGTAGGGGTTGCTCTGAGAATTAGGAGGGTGCTCCTTTGCCCATCCAGCTTCGGGCGGGGCGCGAAACCCGGGGTCCGCAGACTAAGGCTAGGGTTCCCTGAGCGGGAGCGCAGGCAGGGGTCAGCGCCCCATCCTCCCGGGGGTGGAGAGAGGGTACACCTCGCTGCCCACCCAAGCTCCGCCTCCCCCCTTCCCCGCTCCCGCTCCGCCGCGCTCCCAACCCCGCGCACCCGGAGGACGGACGCCGAGCGAGCGGGAGGCTTCGCCTCCTCCCGCTCCCCAGCTCTCGCCCGCCCTCGCCGGGGTCTCTGCCTCCGTCTCGTTTTTTAAGAGCTGCGTCACATGCATGCCGTTCCCGGGAGCGCTCCCTGCCCCTCGCCGCGCGGCGCACGCACGTCGTCGCTCGCGGCGCGCTCGCCCGGGTCACTTTGACACAGCTCTCTCCTCCCACTAGCAGGACAATTAGCATATTAATAAAGCCCGGCCCAGCCCGACTCCGGCCGGAGAGCCGGCGCCTGCGAGAGGGAGAGGACGCGCGAGCGGGAGCGAGCGCGAGGGCGGCGGCGGGGAGGGCGGCGGGAGCGCACAGACACGCACACGCGCACACACGGACACACACTCCGGGGACGCACACCCGCGCGTACACACGCAGAGGCAGCTCGCCTTCCTGCCTGGCTTCCTTCCTGTCTGCTCCGCGCCTGACAGGCCCCTCGCTGCAGGCAGGGGCGGCCCGCACTGGGCAGAAGCCGGGCCGGGCCGGCGGCGAGGGCATCGGGGGCCGCGGGCGGCGGCAGCGGCTCATGCCCGGCCTGTCCCTGCGAGGGGCGGGCACCGTGACTCGGCTGGGCCCCCAGCGGCGGGCGATGTGAAGATGTCAGTGGGCTGTGCCTGTCCTGGTGAGTGGGTCTCGCGGCCGCCTGGCCCCTCCCTCCCTCTCGAACCCCTCACCCCTCGTCTGGCGATAATTTGTGTATGGGGGGCGTCGAAGGCATGGTGGGGATCGGGGTGTTGTATAGAGTTGGCGGGGCCTCGGTCGGGAGAGGGTTTTCTTATTTATATAAATGCGCAGAAGCCCAGAGGCACGGGGAGGGGGTGCCGAGGATGGCTTGTATTTTTTTTTTTTTTTTGAGGGGGGGAAGCTAACTGGGGAGAGATGGGGGGGCTGAAATTCCCAGAATTCCAGGGTGTTAGCCAATCAGAAGTGACTTTGGACTTTTGACCCCCCCCCCTCGGGTCATCGTAGAGTTGTGATTGGTTGATTTGGGTTCCCCCCTTCCCTGCTGCCTATTGACTCTTACATATTTTGTGACATTCACCCCCCTCGGGCTGTTTCTGAGGATGCTGTTTGGGGGAGGAGTTGATGGGGGCCCATCTTGCCCCCCTTTAACTTTTCCTGTCTGGTTGCCAGGGTAGGTTGGCCCTCCTGGGGGACAGAAAGCACTCCTAGGGGGTGTCAGATAATTGGGCCCTTGGGTCTGCCATCTCTGCCTTCGTGGGAGGGGGTGATGTAGCAGTTCCAGGTAGGCTATGAATTAAGAGTGGTTTGCAGTCTTGAGTTAGGGGGAGCAGTGCTTGACCCCTGAAGTGAAAACTTGAGGACCCAAATGCAAATCACCACCTCTCCAATCTTGCCAGTGGACACCTGTGTCTGAGATTTTTCTTATAGAGTCCGGGTGTAAGCTCTACAAGTGAGGAGGAAAAAGTAGAGCCATGTATGGGAGAAGTAGTCTAAAGAGGCCCCCAGAATATAGTCTGCCCTTTTCCGTATAACTGGGCCCTCAAATTGGCCTTCCTTCCAGGATGAAGCCAGCTTTTTCTAGGAAGTCAGTGTCCTGGGTCTAGCCTGGTCCTATGCCTTGCTTCTCTAGATGTCCTGTATTCTGAGAAGCGTGTACTTCGTAAGTAGGACCCCCTCGTCCCCCAACAACGCTCACAAACGCAATCCCCCAAGGGAAGCTGCCAGTGCAGAAGCTTCCTTGGAAATCATGTGACCCGGGCCAAGTTGGACTGGGTTGGGCACACACTTCAAGTGCCTGCTGAGGCTGACATTTTAGGGGCATAGGGCCCAGGAGGAGGGCTTGGAGAGCCTGAGGATCCTGGAATATCCGGGTGTGGGAACCCCTGGCTCCTGCTGCAGAGGGCGGAGAAGAGCAGGAGAGGGAAGAGCTTGCCAAGCTGGAACCCTGCCTAGCCTCATATCCTTCCCACCAATTGATGTGTATGTTTGTGTGTGCCCCTTTGCAATTGGCCAGTTTTAGACAAGATAGTTCATGTTCTTAGACTACCCATGGGTCCTTTTCCTACAACATCATGAATGAGAGCCCAAAGTCAGGTAATGTTTTAAACAAGCTAGTGGCCTGAAACTTAATTTTTTTCCCTCCAAGGTAGGGTTTCTCTATGTAACATCCTTGGCTGTCCTGGAACTCTCTTCGTAGTCCAGGGGCTGCAGGGCTCTAACTCAGAGATCCGCCTGTCTCTGCCTCCTGAGTACTGGAACTAAGGGCGTGCATGCACTGCCACCCCCTGGCTGAAACTTAGATTTTTGTTCTTAGTTCCTACAAATAGTAGGTAGGGGTTTTGTTTGGAGAGGTAGTCAGGCAGGGGGAGAATGGGAGCTTGGTCCTGGAATTGGGGCAGAGTACCTGCATGGGGAGGGGGAAGAACGTTTCCTCCTCAGAGTCCTTGTGACTAACCTGGAGACAGGAAGAGGACCCGTGCCCAGGGGTGTGTATGTGCAACTTCAGGCAGTGCCCGAAAACTCACATTCTTTTTGTATGTCTGGTGGCTTGGCTGAGAGAGAACGAGCAAAAAATGGCCGAGGGAGTGTTTTTCTTGATTATGAAGAAGTGTGATGGACTGATGTCACAGGGAATGGATGGACGTTAGACTTCAAGAGAAGAACCACGTGGGGAAGGGCTTAAAGAGAGGCCTGTGGGTGGAGAATGGTAGGAGCTGGGGTGAGAGAGGGGACCAGGCTTGCATGTATGGGTGTCAGCACATGCTTCAGTCAGCCAAAGGCATTCTGGCAGCATTCAGCAGTTCAGGCCTGAGGACCACCACCACCCTGAGCAGCCCTGGGGCCTAGGCGCTCTGGCAGGCTGCCTGCCTGCCTGCCTGAGTCTCTCCTTTGTGCTCTGCTGTCTCTGGGCTCCTCCTCCTCCCCCAGCCCGACAGAGAGACAGCACATGCCCCACACATGTGACTGAGGGAAGCCAGAGCGCACACACACAGCCACACAAATGCACATTCGGAAACACCACAAGATACACATGTATACACCTCTCTAGCCCCCTTGGTGCTCTTGGGGTGGAGAACGTTTTCCTGGGGCTAAATGACCAGAAAGGAACAAGCCTTGCTAAGGAGCACCTCCCTAGGCAGGATGCTAAGGGGCTAAGGCCTGTCTGGGGGCAGCATGCAGCTCAGAAGGGTTAAGGCACGGAGAAGTAGGGGGAGGGGAGGAGGCAGCAGTGGTGGCGGCTGGGAGCCAGGAGAGGAGGATGGCAGAGCGCCAGGCCAACGGGAGGCCGGGCACAGACAAAGGAAGGGGGGCAGGCTCACTGGAGCCCTGGGTCAGGGGCCCGGGCAGGGGGCAGTGCTGGTACCTCTTACTGTGGGCTGCTTTTCTTTGAGCCCCCACCGTCAGAAATACTCATAGGCTTCTTTCCCCATCACCTTTATCGTTCTTTGCTGCCTCCCCTACCCCCACACACACCAATTTTTAGGGCCTTCTGACAGAGACTTGCTGCCTTTCGATGGACCTTTTCTACCCTGTGCGCTGGGGGAACTGGGTCAGAGCAGGAAGAGACTTGCTACAGAGAGGGAACTAAGAGCCTTTTGAATGATAGGTCAGAGTCTTGATACATACATCCTGGTGCTTCAGGGCCCCTCTCACAGTGAAAGGGGAGGCCCCTTGTGGCTCCTGTCTGACTAGACTGGTAGGGTGGGGGTTCTGAGCTCAGGGCTGGGGGCAAAAGCAAGAGCACATACTCTTCCCCATCCTAGGTGGACAGTCATTTGAAGCGCTCGCTGGGGCGGGGGGGCTGGGTAGGACTAGGAATGGCTGGTCGCTCCAGAACCGAGTTTACATCAAGTGGAGCTAAGAGTCCAGGTTTCCAACCTCAAGCCCCCTTGGCTCACATGTTCTGCTGAAATTTATGTATTTGAAGTACCGGTAGGCATGTCCATGTGTGTCTGTGTGTGCACAATTCAGGTGATGTCTTTCAGCACTTTGGAAAGTTTGGTTTGTTTTTTGTTTGTTTGTTTGTTTGTTTTGAGACAGTGTTTATCTGTGTAGCTTTGGCTATCCTGGACTCGCTTTGTAGAGTAGGCTGGCCTTGAACTCACAGAGATCCTTCATCCTCTGCCTCTGAGAGTGCTGGGATCACAGGTGTGTACCACCATACCCGGCTGTTTATTTGTTTTTGTTTTTTTTTTTCGCTGAGGCTGTTTTTTAACTCCTTGATCCTTCCTCCTGCCTCTAGCTTCTGAGTGTTGGCATTACAGGTGTGTTTCACCAGTCCCACCCACATGCCCTGTGTGTGGTGTGTGTGTCTGTGTGTGTATGTATTTTATGACAGGGTCTCACTATGTGACCCTGTCTGCACTAGAACTTGTTACATAGACCAGGCGAGCCACAGAGATCTGCCCACTTCTGCCTCCAAGTGCTGGAATTAAAGACTTGTGCCATTACATCCAAAACCATGTATTTATTTTTGAAATGGTCTCTCTATGTGGCTAAGGTTGGCCATGGGACTCTGTAGTCCAGACTGTCCTCGAACTCATCAAAATCCTCCTACCTCAGCTTCCGAAGTGCTGGGATTCCAGGTGTGTTCCACTCCGTCCAGATCACTTTGGAATGTTTGAAGGCACTAATAACAGGCCTTGTTCTGTTGGTGCTGGAGGGGTGTTTCCTATTTCAGAGTCAGGATCTAGACTATCAAGCTAAAAGGAATGTGTCTTATGTCCTGGTGGCAGGCTGAATATAGGAGGTCCTGGCTAAAACGGCATAGATTTCATTGTTTGTGGGAGCTGGGGCATAGCACACCAGCAGGCTGTGATGGTGGAGGAGTACAGACAGGTTCCAGGGAAGACGGGGTGTGGAGTCTCTGTGACAGTTGATTAGGACATCCATGTTACAGTGTGTTCCAGACTGAGCAAGTAATAACACGGTTTTGGTGTGTATGTTGGAGTCAGGATACATGCATGGTCCTGGGACCTGTATAAATGGAAGTCGAGGCCTAATTTGGACTCAGTATTTGTTGGGGGGGGGCGGGCTGTAACTGTTTTTAGGGTTTAAGGAGTGTATATCAGATACTGATGTATGTGAAAGTGAGAGGTGTAATTCATTCCTGGAGCGTGTTTACAGAGGCGGTTGTGGTATTATCATCTTCTTGCTTCTGTGTGTATGTCATGAAAAACCCTGTCCTTGGATTGTTCATGAATTATAGTTGGGGGAAGGAGGGCAGTAGAGGACACTCTCCAACTGCAAAGAGTGAAAGTAGGTGAGCCTTCGTCAAGAGTGTGCGCCTGTGCCGTCCGGTTCCTTTTCCTGTCCAGAGGAGTAGGGCCTGGACTTCCACCGAAGTTTCACAAGTATCTCTTCACCTAGGAAGAGATGAAGCAAGCCCTATCCCGCCACCCAGATACCTTTATTGAGACCTGGGGGAGTGGGAAGGATTCAACAGTCCCTTTTAAAGCCCTCCGATAGACCCGTGGATAGGCAAGTCTGCCCTCCGCACCCTGACAACGCCTCTCTCCCCAGCATCCACGTGGCTTCAGGGGTGGTGTCAGGCAAGGGTGTTTCCTATAAAGGGGATCTAATCCAGGGCTTGGAACTTGGCTGGGTTTGGGCAGGGAAGCCTGGAGTGTGTGTCCCCTTTTCTCTAGTATTTACAAGCTGAACTCAGAATGTGTTTCCGTCAAAAGTAAACCCCAAAGCTTCCCACCTCTTGGATTTCTACAGAGGAGCCCAGAGTGGCAGCTTCGGCCGGCCTTTAAAACCTCAGGTCTGTGGGAGGTTTGGCTGGCTGGGTGACGATGTTAGGAGTCTGCAGAGGCCAGCACCGCCCTTCACCCCTGCATGTGGCTCTGGAGGGTGCGTTTCGCTGCTGGCCTCCCCAGGCCTCCGCTCTGTCCAGGTCTCCCCTGGCCGTTCAGTCCCCAGTCTCCCGGTCTCAATCTCTTTTGTTTTTCTCAGCAGTCCCTCCTCGCTCCCTCCCTCCCTCCGCTCTTCCTCCTCGCTCGCGGGGGAGGGGGCGGGACCGGCGGGGCAGCTCCACCCTCCGCCCGCCCTGGGGCCTCCTTCGGAGAGAGGCACGGCGAGCGAGCAGGGAGGAGAGGGAGGGAGGAGGGAGAGAAAGGGAGAAAGGAAGAAGCAGGCGGGTGCTGCGTGTGCCTGAGTGTGCCAGTGCGAGTGAGTGTGAGTGCCGGGCCCTGCCTCTCCCGCCTCCCCAGCAGAGGGGCCCGGTGGCCTAGGGAGGGCGGGCGGGCTGCTTGGAGGTAGAGGCAGCGAGAGGCGGCGGCGGGCAGAGCCGAGGAGGAGGAGAGAGGAAAGAGCCGAGCAGCCATTGTTGAGGGAAACCTTGCAAACAAAGAAGGCTCCGGACTCCCCGCGGCCCCTCGCCCCCCAGGCCGGCCCCCCGGCCCCCAGCCCCCGGCCCAGTGGCCATTGTAACTTTCCCCCCGGGCTGTGGACGCCGCGGGGCGGGCGGAGGCTGTGCATGCGAGTCTTTGTGCGGCCTGCGGAGTGGAGCTCCCAGCCAGACTGGCCTGTCCCACTCAGGACATGAGCTGCTGAAGTTGCCTCCACCTTAGTCCTCACCCTTGCCAGGGTCCCTGCGGACTTCCAGGCGCTCCCTGCACCTACCCCGACCCCCTCAGTTCTCCCAGGTAAGTCTGGGCACCTTGAAAGCTTGTTGGGGTGGGCGAAAGGCCCTCTTGTCTAGTGCAGGCCTTCTATGTTGGCAGGGGGGAAAGTGCCCCAACGCCCAGCGTGGGGGCTACAAGCGTGTTGACCTATGGTTAGGTCCAAAAGGGAGTAGGCCTGCCATCAGGTCAGTCTGGTTACCATGGAAATGCCCTAACTGGAGGTACCTTCTCAGCCCCAGAATGCTGCTTCCAACCTGAGCAAACTTTGCTAGTTCTGCGCTCCTCTTTTCAACCTCTTCCTAAAAGCTTCCAGGTTGTCGGGGGGCAGGTGTTGACCCTATTGCTGGAAGACAGGTTTCCTTCACTCCCACCCCCACCTTGGTCTCAGTATTCCTCCAGTGTGGACAGGCAGCAACAGGGACAGATGGTCAGGGTGAGGGCCCTCCCCTTCTCCCAGCCCCTTGTGCTGGGGCTACTGGGAGTTGCTATGACTCTCGGAGAGATGCTGAGTTTGCTTATGACCATTCATTTGAGATGTAACTAGAGGCCCCAGAGTTTGGGCTTTAGCTCCCCCAGAACTTTTAATCTATCTCCCAACAATACCTGTGAGAAACTCAGTTGTCTTGCTCTCCTTCTCTTCAAGTTCTTGAGCTGATATAGTTGTTCAGGAGGCCCAGAAATTCAGTGGGGCAGAGGTAGTAGTTAGGAAAAGAAGGGATGAGGGCAAGTTCTGAGAAACTAGACTCTTGGGTTCATTGCTTAGGCTTGGCTTTTAAAGGTGGGCTGCATCAGTTCCAACTTTCTGTGTGGCTTTAGGCTACTTGTCTGTTGAGTAGAAACTGTCATTTTCCTGAAGCACAGGTTCAGTCCAGGACTAGTGTGTGAAAGCAGTGTGCACAGTGCTTTAGAGTGTGTGGCCCCGGCCCTGTGAGAGTGGCTGCAGATGATGAGGGCCTTCTGTGGGCACCCTAATACTGCCTGGGGCCGCTGGGTTCCAGCCCGTGGTAGGCGTGTTGGGGCGAGCTGAAGGTGGAAGCCTGCTAGGCAGGATGAGGCACACGCGTGTGCAGGCATACACAAGCTCTGACTCTTGGCACCTTTAGAGACTGTAGTCTGGGCTCCTCTGGGAGCCCCCTTTTGCCCACGTTGTAGTATGGGGCCCCTGGAGAGAAAATTAAATGGCACATGTTGGCACAGGGTCTTCCTTTGTCTCTTTCCCCCCCAGGAACAAGATAGATTTTATGTTTAAATTAGGAGACAGGGCTCAGATAGAGCCAGTACAGGTAGCCTTCCAAGTGCAATCAAGTTTTAGGTGCTGAGGAAGTGAAATAACAGGGCCAGAACCTTTGAGACCGTGCCTCAGTTTCTCCTCATTTCTGGTGGAGAGGGAAAGAGTAGAGTTGCCTGGGTAACTGGCTCCTGTCCAAGTATGAATTTAACTGTGGCAGTCAGAAACTAGTACACCAAGAAGTAAAAATGCTGCTTCTCGAAGTGGAGGAGGGGCAGCGCTGCTTGTGTCCATATATACAGCAGAGACGAGACTCCTTTCTAATTGTGTTTGCTGCCCAGACTGAGCCCCTGGAACATAGCCTCTTCCCCGGGCTTCTGTGTCCATCTAAGTAGAATCTAATTCCCCATCCCACCTCAGGCCTCAAAAGGAAAAGGGTTAGACTTTGAGTTTCTGGTCTGGAAACAATACTCTACCCATTGTAGGTGTGGGTATGGGGGCTGGGCTGATAAGGGAATGGCTGTTGGTTTGGAAGACCAGAAGCTCAACTGTTTATCTGGTGGGCCGCACCCAACAGGCACACCAGCCCCCCTTATCTTTCTATCCCTTGCCCTCCTGAGACCCTGCAGGGTGGAGGAAGAGCAGAGAATTCCCCAGGTCCCTCTACCCCCACCTTGGTCATCAGAGCACACAACAAAAAAGGAGACAGAGGGTAGAAATAGAATAGGAATTAGAATGTCGAGGCTCAGAGCCTGGCTTTGCTGGTTACTAATGGTATGTTCTTGGTGAGTCCCTTTGGAACCCTCAGTTGCCACATCTTAAAACTGGGAATGTTTCTGTCAGTCCTGCTGCTTCACAAAATGGTGAGGATTGAATGAAGCGGGTAAAAAGGAGGTTTGTCAAAATTGTAATGTTTTGGTGTTTTTCCTGTGGTGCTGACATTTCTTCCTTCCTTCAGCTCAGTCTTAGCCAAAGAAACAGGATCTTGAGTATGGACTGGGGGTAGGAATGAACACTCCTAGCTTGTATGCTTCTTCCTTCCTTTCCTTAAGGGTTTTGTTTTGTTTTCAGTTACGAAGGGAGTATGGGCTAGTTGCACACAAGTGCAGGTACCCACAGAGGCCAGAAGAGGGTGTCATGTTCCTGCACACTGTAGTTAAAGGAGGTTGTGAGCGGCTTAATATGTTAGGGACCAAACTCAGGTCCTCTGGTGGAGTGAGTGGTGTGTTCGAAGTCCTGAGCCAGCTCTCTAGCCCCACTCTCAGTTTCTCAGTTAAACAAGATGAGAGCTATGAAGGGGTGAGGTGGCCCTTAGAGCAGTCCTCTCCTGGTTCATTCCTCTCTTGTAACCAGGCTAGAGAAGCTCAGGCCTTATCCATATGGTCTAGCAGGCTTCCAGGGAAGCTCCCCAGAAGTTCAGGGGAGCTGTGCCATTCTCTCTATTAGGTTGTTCCTCAAAGTCATTCAAGCTGTACTCACCGAAGGAGCCCCCGAACGGCAACGCCTTCCCTCCCTTCCATCCCGGCACCATGCTGGATCGGGATGTGGGGTGAGTTGCTTTCCAGTTCCTAATCATCCTTAGATGGTAACTTGCCTGGAAGGGAAGGAAATGTCCTCTCTCCCTCCCCCAGTGTTTCTCTCTTCCACGGTAATTCTCATACTCTCTTCCCTCACAGCCCGACTCCCATGTACCCACCTACGTACCTGGAGCCTGGGATAGGGTAAGTGGGGTGCAGCCAGTAAGAGAGCTTTCCTTTGCATGGGTCTAAGCAGAAAGGGGGTGCTAGAATGACTCTGCTGCTGAGAACCTCACTTCTTCACTTTCCCAGGAGGCATACACCATATGGTAACCAAACAGACTATAGAATATTTGAGCTTAACAAACGGCTACAGAACTGGACAGAGGTATGCGAAGGAAATGGAGATGGGGGGGTTGTCCAGATGAGCATCCTTACAAGATATTCTATCACACGCACATACTCGTCTCTGTGTTCTTTAGGAGTGTGACAATCTCTGGTGGGACGCTTTCACGACTGAGTTCTTTGAGGATGATGCCATGTTGACCATCACTTTCTGTCTGGAGGATGGACCAAAGAGATACAGTGAGTGGCCTCTGTGAGAGTGTTACACTTCCTCTGTGGTTTGTGAGTCTGCCTTGGGCCTTTTGAAGTACCTCTGCCCTGAAAGCTGTGTCCTGTCTCTATAGCCATTGGCCGGACCCTGATCCCACGCTACTTTCGAAGCATTTTTGAGGGGGGTGCTACGGAGCTGTATTATGTACTTAAGCATCCCAAGGAGGCATTCCACAGCAACTTTGTGTCCCTCGACTGTGACCAGGGAAGCATGGTGACCCAGCACGGCAAACCCATGTTCACCCAGGTCAGCAAACCAACAGGATATGGAACACCAAGGGCACCTGGATTTGATTTCCTCTTTCCCAACATGTACTACAGTTGTTCCCCAAGGAGGAATACTGGGAAGTGGCCAAATGCGAAGGGAGGGCAGGCGTAGCATTCAGCAGATTTTTACTTGGTTTATTCATGTCAGTTTTCTGGGCCCCGAGGTATACGGTGAACGAGAACCTGTCCTCATAGAGCTTGTAGCAGATGGGTTTTTCTCTGGCTACTTGGGAAAAGGACGAGGATCTGTTAAGCTTTCCTACTCTGTGTGTGTAAGTATGTGTGAGTGTGTAAAGGCCAGGTATGACAGGCATATGGGGAGGGGGCATGCTGCGTCAGTTATGCACCCAGGTACTTGCACAGGTAGCAGAAGTGTATGCAGGGGAAAGCTGTAGTAGGTACGTTTTTGTATGTGTGGGGAGGGGGCAGGGATATGACAAGCCTATCCCCAGGTGTGTGTGGAGGGCCGGTTGTACCTGGAGTTCATGTTTGACGACATGATGAGGATAAAGACGTGGCACTTCAGCATCCGGCAGCACAGAGAGCTCATCCCCAGGAGTATCCTGGCCATGCACGTGAGTTGTGAGCCGGACCTAAGATGAGGGGAAGGCCAGCAAGGCATCGGGGTTAAGCAGGCTGTGTTGTTTTCTGACTGAACTTAGAGTAGAGAGGGGAGGTGGGTTTAATTCTAGCCCCTTTGTCTCAGTTACGTCACACACTCAGGTGAGCAGAAGCAGTCCAGAGTCAAGTGATCTTTTTTCTTCTCTAGGCCCAGGACCCCCAGATGCTGGATCAGCTCTCCAAAAACATCACCCGGTGTGGGCTGTCCAACTCCACTCTCAACTACCTCCGAGTGAGTCTCTGATCACTCTGGTTTTACCCCAGCCTCTCTTACTTGAGCTCCGTGTCCTGCCTTAATAGTCTAACCCACCTTCTGGTCTACTCCAGCTCTGTGTGATACTAGAGCCCATGCAGGAACTCATGTCCCGCCACAAGACCTACAGCCTCAGCCCCCGAGACTGCCTCAAGACCTGCCTTTTTCAGAAGTGGCAGCGCATGGTAGCACCTCCCGGTAAGTGCCTTGCCCCTTCCTTCACCAGGCCCTTGACAGGCTGTATCAACCCTGAGGCTGTATCTTTTATTTCCTCATGACATGAAGCTCCCTCTGCTCCTTTCTTATTCTGGGACTAGAAGCCTGAGAACAGTGCATAGGCAGGCTCCTGAGGTGGGGAATGAAGAGTAGGGGTCCAGGGTCCCTCCCACTTGAGTCTCCTTTCTCTGGCACAGCGGAACCGGCACGACAGCAGCCCAGCAAACGGAGGAAACGGAAGATGTCGGGGGGTAGCACCATGAGCTCGGGGGGTGGCAACACCAACAACAGCAACAGCAAGAAGAAGAGCCCAGCCAGCACCTTCGCTCTCTCCAGCCAGGTACCTGTAAGCATCTCGGCTTTCTTCTCTTCTGGGCTGCCCCACTGCTCACCCCTGACCCCAGTCTGAGCCTGAACTTACTAGCAGGCATAGAAGCAAAGACAGTCTTCCCCATGTACACTAGAGCCAGTATGATTTGGCTCCTTCCACTGATGAGAGAATCTTTGCCAGGCACATATATACATGGTTATGACCACATAGGCTCAGCTGTAGGTACAGTAGAGCGCGGGACAGAACCAGCTGTGAGAATGGAAGACGGTCAGAGCAGATAGTATGGGGCACACGCCATTAGAACACACTCACACCAATGGAAGATACGCAGACTTGAAGTGTTGCATATGTAGAATGCATGCACATTTGTGCACATACACATTTCCCTCCCTCATATTTTGATCTGCTCACTCTTACATATGGATAGACGTTCAAGGGCCCCTAAAATCTGAGGGAGATGGATTATTAGGGAGCTAGCGGAGTAAAATGTTATTTCTTTCCAGGGTCCAGTGGGTAGGGGGCTAAAGGCTGTGATGCCTTGGAGTCCTTTAGTGGGAAGGGTCCCAGGAGCTGAGGGTGTCAGTTGGGGTTTTAAACTTGGGCATGAAGAGGGGGCGGGGTGTTGAGCTTCTAGGGAGGGCATGGGGGCTCTGGGGATATCTACTGCCCTGGGTTGGGCGAGCCCCTGCCCCGATTATGTTTGGGGACCTCCGCCACTCTCAGGATGTGATGGTGGTGGGGGAGCCCACCCTGATGGGCGGGGAGTTCGGGGACGAGGACGAGAGGCTCATCACTCGGCTGGAGAACACCCAGTTTGACGCGGCCAACGGCATTGACGACGAGGACAGCTTTAACAACTCCCCTGCACTGGGCGCCAACAGCCCCTGGAACAGCAAGCCTCCATCCAGCCAAGAAAGCAAATCGGAGAACCCCACGTCACAGGCTTCCCAGTAAAGGCCCTGCTATGGCCACCCAGCACTCTGGCTGCCCCACCCCTCACAGCCCCAGGGAGCAGAAGACAAGGATGAGACTGAAGCATCTGAAATGGGCAGCCTCCATCCACCCACTTCAGGGAGGAACTGGACTCACTGGGGGCAGGTGCCAAGATTTGCCCCTCAGTTGCCCTGGGCTGGGCCTGGCCCCTGCAGAGCCTTTTGGGGGAAGGGGGTACTCATGTGGATGCCTTTGTGGACCCTGGGCCTCTGAGAAATGTCCTGACCCTCCTCTCCCCAGGGCATTTGCCCCCATTCTCACCCCAGGTTCTGGGTGCCCCATCTTCCTGATTTATCCCTTTGAGCCTGGGGTTTATACCCACAGTCCTTAGGGGCTTAAAGTTTGGGGCTTGGTTGAATGCCCTTCCCCTAGGTGACTGTTAATAGAGGGTAAAATTCTGGGTTCCTCCCTTTTGCCACTTACCCAGCTCCAAGTTTTTAAAAAAAAAAATAATATTATTAAAAATGTAAATTAAAAAAAAGTCACTCATGTTCCCCTATTCCCCTGTTGAAAATCCAGCTACCTCCCTCCTGACAGGTGGAGGGCCTAGGGCCCAGGTGGGGTGAGAGTTGGAGCAGGGGAGTATGCCTACCATTTATACCACCTGAGAAGCTTCTTTGGGCCAAGGAGACACTTGGCCATCTCTCCTCTCTCTCTCTCTCTCTGGGGTGACTGGAGTTGGGGGCAGCGTGCCATCGGTTGGGGTGGAGCCGTTGATGACTGCATCTCTTGACCCCTGTTGTCTGTCTTCCCAGCCTCCAGGACTCTGGCCTGGTCCAGTGCTTGTGAGTCCCTCTAGCCCTACCCCCTCTACAGCGTGCATTTTTACAGTCTTCTACTAGAGCAGCTGTCTTGGACGAGTAGGGAGGTCCCCCTCCCTCAGGGAGCACAGAGGGAAGGGAGCTGCTTTGTTTGTCACTGACTGTTGTTGGTTGTTTTGTTTTGTTTTGTTTTGGTCTCAGTGTGTCAGGAATAGGATAAGAGGACCTTATCCACTCTTAATTCCAGACCACTCCTCTCCCAGCCCCTCAAACTGTATCTGGTACTGACGTCTCTTTGACTTGAGGGAAAGGAGCCACTTAGGCCATCTAGCTTAAACCCATCAGGGAGAAAAAGGCCTCTGTCCTCCCCAAACTGAGGTAGTCATTTCTGTCCCCACGTTCCCTCCTGCAGCAGCTAGTGTCCCCAGCTCCATTCCCTAGATGGGGAATATGAAGGCTCACAGGTTCTGTGGCTCATGGCTCCGCTGCCTTTTCCTGTGGCCAGGCCCAGGGTGTACGGGTGCCTCCTCCCCGTTCTCCCTTTTGGAGTATGGGGTCCCTTGGGCCCTGCTTCCTCCTTGGCAGTCACTTTTGGGAGGATGCTGTCAAGAGCCAAAGGAAAGGGTGAGGAAGGTGGATGTCCCATCCCTACTGTAATGATTTTTTCTCTTTTTTTTTTAAGTTTTTATTTTTTTTCCCTTTTTGGCCATTTGAGTCATGTATGGTACCAATCAATAAAGAGACTTTTTTGTTTGAGAGTGTCCTGGTTAGTCATTGGTACAAAGTTTGTCAGGCGTGGTAGCACTCAGAGGCAAGAGGATTCCTATGAGTGCAAAGCCAGCCTGGTCTATATAAGTGAGCTTCAAGCCAGCCAGTGCTATTCATTGAGACTTTCTCAAAATCCCTTAGTTCAAGACAGGCGTTCTCAGGAATTTGCTTCCGTCTCACACTTTTCCCTGTGGAGCTGGTCTGAGTCACGCCTCCATTCCAGGCTCCAGTCCTCCTTCCTGGGTAGCCCACCATGGTTTTGTCTTTCCTCACAGACTTCTCCCAACTGCTGCCCCTCACCTCTGCCTCCTATAAGGGTCCTGTCAGGGCTCCTGGAAGAGAGCTGGATGAAGGTGTTGAAGGCTTGTAGGGAAGGAGTCCTTGGGGGGAAACTGTGTGTGGGACCTTGGGGCTCTGTTTTCTGGGACATTCCTAACAAACTAACCCAGCCCTCCAGCCCAGATGAGGGCCAAACCAGGCCCCCCTGGGGCCTAAGGCCCCCTGCTGAGGGATTAAGGGAGGAGGAGAATTGTGTTTCTTACCCTGCCAACTTTGGTTGTGGCCTAACTTCCATAGGGAGATAGGAGAAAAAGGGTTCCCTTGAGTTAGCTACTAATTCTAAGTCTCAACGTCCCCACTGTTGAAGAGGTTGTCAAGGTAGGGGAGACCCTGCTATGGGCTGGAGCTCTGGTCTTCCATGATGACCCCTGTCCTGACGGGAAGCCTCACATCATTCCCTTCTGAGGTCTCTGGATCTGCAGTTAAACCTGATGCTTCTGCCTCAGCCTCTGAGTTGACAGGAAGATACTAGAGGGAAAAACTGTCTCTCCTACATGCCCCTTGGCCTCTCCACAGTTACCTATCCTATTGCCAACATAGTGCCTCAAGACCCCAAAGACAATATTCAGACATGAATGTGGACACACATACATAGGCGGAGAGAGGCCTCCCCCGACAAGGACAGTGGCCACCACTTCCTCATTTGGAACACCAGGGAATGCCTGCAGATGACCCGTGTCTTCAGTAGAGCACACATTTGGCCTTTTTTGCCTGAGTATGTGCCAGTATATATATTCATATGACTGCTGAGGTGAGGAGGTCGTAGCTGTGTGTATAAGCTATGTAAAGTAGTATGTCAATGTGTAAGTAGACTCGTGTGGGCATGTTTATATAGGTGTTGGAGAATTCATTCAGGTAAATTGAGTCCTCTTAGCTACCCGGCCGGATTATAGGTGCAGGGGTATATAAAACATGACAGATGTGCATGGTGGCTCAAAGTGTATAATGAGGGTGTACTGATAACAGATGCGTGGCTTGGCAGTGAGGTGTTGAGTTTGTTGTTGGGTCCTAGGATAGTAGCTGAGACTAGTTGAACATTAATCAGCCACAGTGTGTGTGTGTGTGTGTGTGTGTGTGTGTGTGTGTGCGCGCGAGAGAGAGAGAGAGAGAGAGAGAGAGAGAGGGTGGTGTGCATAAGTGAAAGAGGCAGGTGCGGACCTCTGCCCTGCTTGGGGAAAAAGCCTGGGCCCAAAAGACGGGGGAACTATTTGAACTCAGGAAACAGTGGTCAGCAGTTTCCTCTGGAGCCCCAGATCTGGCTCTTCCACATTGTCCTCCAGCAGGCCATGTGGGGAAGGCCCCTGGTGAATGAAAGAAAGGAAAGTCCCTCCAGGGCTCTGTGCCCCCTGTTAAAGCTACAGGTACGGGTTGGTCCCAGCCACCAGCATACTCCAGCTGCGACCCAAGCCTCTGCCCCTCACACTTCCACAGCTCCTTTCCCACAGTTCCTGGCCTGGGTGTGTCTGACCTGAGTGCTAATGCTCTTCTTCAGACCCCCATCTAGCCTTGCACAATGTTTTTCTTGAGCTAGTGTGACTCGCAGCTCCTTTTCAAAGGAGAGGTGCTCAGCACTCAGGAACCTTTCTGCCCTCAAGAGGCTCGGAGCTTGGTTCTGAGCACCTACGTGACTCACAGCTGCCTGTGAACTCCAGTCCCAGAGGTTCTGGCGCCCTCTTCAGGCTCCAAGAGCACCAGGCACGTATGCAGTGCACAGTGTAAATGCAGGCAAACACCTACACACATAGAATAAACATACATGTTTAGACAAGAACCCTAGCCAGCCAGCCTGCACCTTTCCCTAAACAAGAAACTGGTCTTCCCAGCGCTTCCTGTAGCCCTCTTTCACTAAGTCCAGTTGTGTCTTGGAGATTGGCAGAAAGTCACGGTCAGAATAGCCGGGAGAAGAAGGGAAGGTTAGGAGACAGGAGGTCAGAGGCACAGTCTGTGTTCTGGGTTGGACTGAAGGGATGGCAAAGCAGGGCGCTGACAGCACTGGAGATGGGGAGAAGACTGAATTCATGGCTAGCCTGGCCTGTTGAGCAGACTGTCTCAAAAAACAAAGGGAGAGCCAGCTGGCCTCGGTGGCACACGTGTGTAATTCTAACACTTTGGGAGGCAGAGGCTGGAGGATCTCTGTGAGTTCAAGGCCAGCCTGGTCTACAAAGCGAGGCCAGGACTACACAGAGAAATCTTGTCATGAAAAACCAAAAAATAAACAGTTTTAAGTCCCTGGCCCTCTAGTTATAGGTTGGCCTTCAAAGCCTGTCTTTGCTAGCCCTGACATCTGAGAATTCAGAATGCTACAGCTAACTACTGAATCATCTATGTGGTTTATCTTCCCAAGAGGCCCATCTCAGGAGCTTCTGTCCACCTCGCTCTGGTGTCTTCATGAAACCTACAAAGAAAATGGGTAGGAGATCATACTTCACACTGCTTAGTCTGGGAATCGGGAAACTTAGAAGGGAAACTGGCTTCGCGCCTCCAGGTTTCTTCTCCAGTCTAGGAAATGGGCTTTTGAAACTTAACGTATTTATTTTGAGATGATCTCACCTATCCTAGGATGGCTTAAAATTATGTAGTTGAGGATAACCTTGAACTCCTGATGCTCTTGCCTTTACCAGCCAGCTGGTGGTGTAAGGACTTTGTGCCTCCAGACCCCATTTATGCCATCCTGGGGACTGAAAATGGAGCTTTCTGCATGCTAAGCCAGCACTGAGCTACATCCTCTGACTCCCCACAGGGTCTCGGGCTGGAGATAGGGCTCAGCGGTTAAGAACACTGGCTGCTCTTCCAAAGATCATGAGTTCAATTCCCGGCAACCACATGGTGGCTCCCAACCATCTATAATGTGAACTGATTCCTTCAGATGTAAATGTAGATAGAACACTCATCTACGTAAAATAAATAAATCTTAAAAGAAAAGATAGGGTCTCACTGGATAGCCCTAGCTGGCAGAGAACCTAATGTGTAGACTAGGCCGGCCTTCAACTTGTGACCTGCCTGCCTCTGGTTTCCAAGTACTCTAAGTATAGTTGTGCACCGCTATGTCAGCTCCCTTTTGTTTATCTGTTGTGTTGGCGTGGTGTTTGCATGTGTTGTGTCTGCGCCTTGTATGTAGTGCACATGTGTGTGGAAGCCAGCACTTGACATGTGGTGTGTTCCTCAGTCGAGGGCCACAGTTTTGTTTTGTTTTTTTGCTAGTTGCCTTGTTTGTTTGATTTCTCATATCTTTCTGTGTATGTTTTTTTGTGCTTTTGTTTGTTTGTTTTTCAAGACAGGGTTTCTTTGTGTAGCCCTGGCTGGCTGTCCTGGAACTCCCTCTGTAGACCAGGCTGGCCTCGAACTCAGATCCGCCTGCCTCTGTCTCCGAGTTCTGGGACTAAAGGTTGCCTCTGCCTGCTGTCCTTAGTGCTGGGATTAAAAGCATTTGACAGCACCTCCCAGTTTGGTTTGTGGTTTTTGTTTGTTTTTTGCCTCCTGGGGCTTGGTACTTGCTTAAGCACTGTAACCCCTCCACCGTATTTGAGGCAGGGGCTCTCACCGACCCTTTGGTTCACTGACGTGGCTAGGTTGGCTCTCCAGTAAATTCCAGGGATCCCTTGCTTCTGCCTCCCTGGTGCTGAGATCGCACTCCCACAGCCACACCCTGCTGTGGGTACTTGGGATCCAAACTCAGGCCCTAATGCTCATGTGACAAGCGCTTTGCCGGGGTGAGGAGTAACTTGAAAAACAGCTGAAACCCAACACTGCATCCCCTCAGCCCACCTTCACCCCTCCCCCAGCTCTTGACACATGTGGCTGGTGTCTTTGTTACTTGTTTGATTCCTGTGACAAAGTACTGACAAAGGCAGGTAAAGGGGTAAGGGTTTATTTCGGTTCACAAGCCAAAGTTTTGGTCCTCCATGTCCGGTCCGTCAGAGGTTGGAGTTCCAGACAGCTGGTCGTGGAGCCAGTCCAGGCTTCCAGCCAGGTAGTGGCACTGTCCACAGTGGGTGGGGCTTCCCAACAGTGCCATCAAGACCCCCAGCAGGCGTGCGAGAGGCCTGTCTCCTAGGCAACTATAGAGTCTATCCAGTTGACAGTAAACAGCGACCACCACAGCTGGCTACACACCATGTCTGCTGTGTGCCTGGGCCTCTCTCTGCTGTTGTGCCTGCTTTGTGAGGCGGCCACCCCGTGAGACTGTTTCTTCACTGCACTGCCTACGCCTGACAGCCTTAACCGTCCTTCGGTATGTCTGTCCCCTGTCCCTCCCTCCGCCCTACCCGCCACCTGGGCCTCCACTCCTCATCCCTGATCACTCAAGGCAGGAACCATCTCTGCTCGCCTCAGGAAATCCCGCTTCAAGCTGGGACCCCTTCACACCTTACACAACTTACTCTGTGCTTGAACTATCTTTTTTGGTTTTTGGTTTTCAAGACAGGGTTTCTCTGTGTGTCCTGTACTCCCCATGTAGACCAGGCTGGTCTTGAACTCGCAGAGATCCGCCTGCCTCTGTTGGGATTAAAGGTGTGCACCACAACCAGTTCTTTTATACCTCGCCCTGTTTCCCACCTTTTCTCCTCCCTTGACTCTCTACCCTTTTCCGCTCCCATCTGATGTGACTTTGAATTTCCTACCCCATCCTCTAGTTTATCTCCCCGGGGGCTGAGAG